TTTTACATGAAGGTTCCATTTGTTAACATTAGTTAACTACATTAGTTAACATAAACTAACAATGAAAAATCTTCATGTTGATTGAGCCCAACATTTCCTAATACATTATTCAAATCAAAAGTTGTATCTATTAAAGTTATTTAATGGACCTGAGCTAACATGGACTAACAGTTGTATTTTTATTAACTACCATTAACAAAGATTAATAAATAATTGAACAAATGTATTGCTCATTCTTAGTTAATGTTAATTAATGTATTAAATACAGTTAACAAATGGAACTTTATTGTAAAATGTTAACAAAATCGTTCATTATTTATTCACTTTTATTCATTCCAAACCAGAATGCTTTTATTTTTTTAGTGGAATACAGGAAAAAAAAAAAAAAGGATTTTTTCATTGATCTTTTCCATTCAATTTATAATTTTATTTTATACTGCAAGCACTATAAAAGCACCACAAATGTAGTCTACACAACTAGTGCACTACACTCCAAATAACATTTCAGTCACTATGGTCACTGTGAGGTGTTCTTGTACGAAAAATGTGTTATAATTCTTGATTAAAAAAATTCCACAAAAAATTGATGAACACATATTATTGAGGTTTGTTTTCGCGTGTGACACAAGCACATTTGACCTTTTATTTGCTTTTATGTGCTCTATATATGTGTGCTGATCAATGTTTATTCTGTGAATAAAAGCATAATTTAAATCTGTTCATCTTATGAAGCAATCATGTCTCTTAAGAAGACTGGGACTAGCTTGACACGCAAATGTACATAAGTTAAATTTTCATGTATGAAATATAGTGTGAAGTACGAAGTAGAAACATATATGGAACCTATTAGAAACTGAAACAATTCCATATACGTATATATATATATATATATATACACACATATAGCCAGTAAATATGTATGTTTATGTATGTGTAATACATTTTAGGACATATTTGTCATATCCATCTAAAACCCCTCAATACATGTTGATACTAAATAAGTAAATATAAAAGACAAACCTATATAAACCTATATATTCCTATATATAAACCTATATATTCACCCAGAGAACGTACGTATGTGAAAATTATATATGGCCTTATAGGTAACATATTTCACGCTTGATATAGGGCAATACATGTCATATATCACATTTCCGTATAGGTGAAGGAACAGAAATCTCTCAGGTTTCATTAAAATACCTTATTTCTCTATCAAAGATGAACAAAAGTTTCATGGGTTTGGAACAATATGAAACTAATTAACGTAATTGATGACAGAATGTGAAGTATTCTTCATTAAAAAGTTTTTTTAACTAAACTTTCCCTTTAAATTTCTTAAGAACTGTATGTACAGTTTGTGTCCTTGTACCTTTATAACTGACGTCACCATTCTGGACGGGACACTCTGGACCTGAGCAGCAGCTGCCATATTGGCAATAGTGTTGAGATGGTTCAGCTGGTTCATTGCCATAGTGACCGAGGCAGGAGGCAGACTGACTGGAATCAAGGGATGTGGCATCATCATGAATGGAAGTTCCAAACCTGTACAGAAAATAATTATACCTTAATTAATCATCCATAATTATAATCTAATAAGTATTTTTGCATAAACTCATTAAAATAACACATGCTGCACCAACAGTTTGAGGATACTAAGAAGCACTCATCACACTGTAAGGGAAAACATCTTGTAAATAGTTCCAAATTATGATGCATCACGTTATGAAATTTCATCAGTTTCTGCTTTGTTAGAGCTCTCTTTAAAGATGTGCCATTATGGCACAGCATGTCTACAAGTATAACAAGAGCTGCTGGAGTCTGTACCTCAAAGCAATTAGCTGCTTCTCAGACTGCTGCAAATGTCTTCATGCATAACAACCCCGTGATAAATTAGACCACACACTCTATTTGTAGCACAACAAGCTACGTGACAGTAAGACTGCAGTACATACGCCTGCTGTGTGACTGGTGTTTTGCTTGTTTTAGTGTGCTGATCCAATCCCTCGCAGCACTCTAACAGTGTTATGCTTTATAGGAATGTGAGAGGATATTCTCCAGAGAGGAATAACGGCAGAAAAAGGAAATAGATCCTCTCACAACTGAACAGGTCAGGGCGTAAGGTTACAGTCAGCCACTCTGCGGCCGCCCGTACAACGCCGCCACTTAGAAAGCGAAGGATGAAAGAGAGACAGAGAGAGAGAGGACATTTCGGCAGTTTCTCTCTCAAAGACTTTTTCATTTCCCATCAGTCGCCTTAAGAGAAGCTCCTGAACTGTGTTGGCCTCGTGGTAATGGATTCACTAGTGTTGATACTTGCGGCAGATGATGAGAAGGAAGGCCAGGAGATGATGAGCCCTTTGGAGGTGATAGTTTTCAAGACCTTCCATCTCCCTCTGCTTTTCAACCAAATACCAGGCAGCTCTGGGGGTCAGAGGTCACCTCTCTGCCACAGAGACAAATGAAAGTTCTCCTTCCTTTCGTCATGACATTTTTAGTCAGAGGCGGAGAGAGAAAAAAAGCCCCTGATTTTCATGAAACAGATGACACGCAGATCAGTCACGGTGATCGGGCGACAGAAAGGAAGTGAAAGGAAGATCAAAGAAAGCCATTGAGTGCCGAGGAGATTGATGTATGGATGGAAAAGGGATCTGAGCCAAGCACAAGCACATGCCAAGAACATGCTCCGTCTTCTTCGCTTTAGGTGTCACTAATATTCTTAAAGTCAAAACGACAGTGCCATCCGCGCATTCGCCTTTTCAAGTGGAATTTAAACTGCCATATTACGCTAGAGAATGCTGATAGGAGCAATATCTGGCCTTCTAAGCGCATTCGGGAAAGGGCCAAAGTGGCAAGGAAACACTAAAGCCCCTCCGCATCCAAAAAGACACATTTGAATGAGACTGGAACTCAGCCAAATGCATCAACATCCGTCACCCTTCATCCGTATCTCAAGGGGCCTACGTCTCAGCTTCTGCCGCAAAAAGAATAACAATGCGATCCACAAGCGTCTGTTAACACCGCAGTGCCACTGAGGCCTGTTTCTCAAACACATGGTGGCCGATATCACTCACGAAGAGCTTTCAATCTTTATTTACCTAAAACAAAAGAGCCCAGGGCTAAAAGAAATTGGAGGCGCGCCATTTTTAAAATATCCCCCCGCAGCAGTTGCCATTGTGCGCTTGAGTCCGAGCTATTGTGGGTGTGTAAATGATTTTGACAGGAAGTTGCAAATTGTATAAATATTTAGCGTTTAATAAAAAAGGAGAAACAAAACAAGCGAACGCTGAGGAAAGGAAACAAAAGAAGTCTAATGACAGGGCTGGGAAGGAGCCAAGTACTCGGCTGGATAAATCCAAACACAACAGGGATCTTGGTACAAAATTGGGCACGAAACTGTTGCGTAAAATGATGTGGAGAATGACAGAACAACACAACACATGGAAAGGATTCAAACGAGAAACAGCAGCAAAACCAGCACATTTTAAACACATACAAAGTGTCCTTAAATTAGTTATTATGGCCTGTCCTTTATCAAAAGTGAGTGTTGTATACTGGAGTCTGGAAAAAACTAGACTCAAGACTCAAGTCTGAGTCTAAGCCAGTATTTTCAAGAGTATTTGGACTTGGCCTGGACTTGGATTTGACAAGTCATATAAAATATGGTCTTGGACTCAGATTTAAGATGGACTTGAGACTGAGTCCAATCTTATCCCTTTTCAACGGCATCTAATATTTAAAATCATGTAACAATGTCACAAATTTGACATTGCATTGTAATAAAACAATTGCTTAAATATTAAAATAAATTGTCTCAGGTTACGTATGTAACCCTGGTTCCTCGAGGGAATGAGACGCTGCGTCGAAAACGCTAGGGGAACGCCTTCTGCGACCCACGCTCTGAATCACATGTGAAATCAGTCCAATAGCTGAACGGGACGTCACGGACAGGTGACGTCATGACCAGGAAGCTATAAAAGCAGGTGCGGCGGAGCTCGCGTCAGCTTCTAGGAATGAAGCAAGCGCTGGCAGGGACGCCGGAAGTATGGCACCGAGACGCAGCGTCTCGTTCCCTCGAGGAACCAGGGTTACATAC